ATTGTGACGTCAAACATAAACAGCGATATCGTCATCTACAGCAGGGCATTACGCGCACAAATCTAAGGCGCGGATCTCATGCACAGCAGTAACCATCGCTATAATAATTGGATTTATTTCGTAAAGGAAATAAATTTTAATATCTATACATAAAGTTTAATTTGAGGTCCAAGAAATGAATGGAATCATTCAAAAACAACATAATCTACATTTTGTCGTTTTGGGGTAGTATAAAAAGCTAAGTATTTATCACAGGGGTTAAATACCAAACCCATGACGTCATAACTATTGATCAAATATATGCCGAGTGAAAATTAAACGTGACGAGTTATGTAATGTTATGTGTGATTCATGTTATGTGTGATTCAAAAGGAATTTAAGATTAAAATTCAGGTACGCTGATTTATTTTTGTCATATTTTGTTAAAATGAACACAGGCAGTTTTTTTGAAATCCCGATCAGCCTTTCCTCCGTCGTTCTAAAAACAAAGATGCAAAAGTTCAACATACGCCGCATACTTTGAAATATAATTTTTGTTTTTGTCGAAAGCTTGTATTCTATAGTACTTGGTAAGTTCTGCTAGAATCGATCGTGTGGTTAACATGAAAAGATGACAAGTCCTTAATCGTATGTAAAAAATGTAAAAATTTAAGTAAGGTTTCATGCGAAACTTTGGAATTATTTTTTCTGTGTAGGGAGAGTAGGATTCTAGCAGCACATTTCATGGCCTAGTGATGTTTTTACATAATTATTTTTACAAAAAGAAATGAATTATCCCCGTGGTAGTGTTGAACTTTTCACTTTTTCATTTAGGCAATTTAGCTATTAATAGACGTCACATGATGATGTCATAGTGGAGTACTTTTTTAGCCTTAGACTCGGTGACATCTATACAATGGATAATAATAGTAAATGTTTTATCTATGGCATTTCCGATTTATCAATGTTACATTTTACGTAGTCTTAAATTCGCCGAAATATTATATGGGTACTGCCTTAACATACCTGCGTATCAATATACGAGTTGAACCGCCCCAGCCCTACTCTACTGGTGTGTACATATACTTATAATAAAATGTATCTTTGTGGGATTAGTGGGTTTTTTTTTTTTAGAATTTTAAAAGAAATTTCTATTTTTGTAACCATGGCAACATATTTTTGGGAAATCATTAACCAAAATGTAAAAAGAATATGTATCTTGGTATAGTCTATTTGAACATCAAGGCTTATTAAAGGAGGTAAATCCCTACATCCCCCCTTCCTACACCCCCCCCCCCCCCCAGGTTTGTTCATGCATGCAAACCAATACTTTGTTTTGACCTAAAAAATGTATATATTATATTCAAAAATGTGCACAAAATTTAATGATGCATCTTTCGGAATGATTTTTATTTGTAATTCTCGCTCGCTCCTTGATCGTGAAGTCGTGGATTCTAGCCCCGGTCGCGACTGACCTAAGTTGATAAAAATAGGAAGCATGTATTCCCTCACCAAGTGCTCGGCACTTTGAAGTGAAAGTTGCTGGTCCTTCGGATGAGACCTTAAAAATCGAGACCTCTTATTGCGGCGGGCGTTTGCACGATAAAGATTCCTTACTGCTCAATGGTCCTTGTGCCGAGTAAAGGTGTGGATTTCAAGCCCTCCATCGGTGTATGGTAACGTCTCTGTATGAGTGAAAAATTCTCGAACGGGACGTAAAACATACAACCAATCAGTCATTTGTAATTCTAGAAGGGTTTGTTGACCCTTAATCAGGAATGAAATGTCGAGCAATCTTATCACTTGATTGACTTTTGATGCATGTCATATTGTGATTTTTTTCCAGTTCAAGGGGGTGGGAGTGTCCTCCAGGGGGTCATAACTTTTATACATTGTCAATTAAATGCATAATGACACAAGGAACAAAATTATGTATGGTTAAGGAGAAAAGTTTTCAACCATTTTCGAGATACATGACCATTTTTCATTCCAGGAACAAGGGGTGACCCGAGCGACAGATAAAATTAATTGTTACTTAGCCTCAAGTTTTCATTTTATTTGACCCCGTTCTATACCTAAAGTTGTACATATCGCCTGTTATAGGTACTGCTTCTTCATAAAATATAATCCAATTAAAACACATAATGAATTCATTCCTATTGACAAAATGATGTGTACACCACGTGCAATCCAATAATGATAACAGTAAATCAAGTAATCGTACGGTGACAAAAGACCAATGTCAGGGACGGGTGTAGAAATTTTCAAGAAATTGTACATGTATAGAATTTATATTTTAATTACACACGATGTTTTTTTTTTTTTTTTTTTTTCTTAAACGTAACTTTGTGTTTTCTATTCCAAATATGGCAGAAATACAGACAAACTGTAGATTGGGGTTTGTTCTGCCAAAATTGATCGGGTGTGGATTTGGAAAGGGTTTTTGCCTACCCAAATACTGATAAGAAATTGTACAATTCGATCAACTCGATCAAAATTGTCATTTTGACATCTATTTTTGTAAGTTCAACAAAAACGCTATACACTAAGAAAATAGAAATTTGTTGTCAATTCAAATTATTGGCGAAAAATTTAACTTCCCCTCCTTTTTTTTTTTTTTTTTTTTTTTTAGAAGGATGTAGTTTAAAAAATCTCTTTTAAACATAATTTACATCATTAAATTCTGTAATTTCAGACTGCTCATGAATTGAGAATAGAAATACTTACGTATGACGCCATTGCACAGCAGTTTCACCTGAGCATTTTATGCTTAATTTGACAAATACATGTGCAAATTATTGAATTCTTGTTTTATGACAGCATCTAGTTTTAGAACATAGTTTACTTTTAACAAAGGATTCAATGCATCAGGTAATTCAAAATATCAACGTGTATATCACCATGTAATCAATCATTTGATGGATCATTCAGTTCTCTATGTGGAAGCAATTAAATGTCAAGATCTAGTAAGTATCTTTCAAAAAAATTTTCTTCCTGCAGTTTTCATTTCGATAAAGTAATTATAAGAGTATATCCAGAGTATACTTCAAGCAGATGTTATTCATTAAAAAATACACACTTGTTTTCTGTTAATTCTACAGAAGTATCGCTGACAGATGGTTAAGATCGCTACCAAAAACGTATCGTTTTGAGAACATTTTAAATATGCAGATTGATTGTAGAAAATTTGATACTTCCATGTACATATTTATAGGGCTATAACTTGCTTTTACTAAACCATTAATACAAAATGTAGTCTGAGTAAAAGAATGGCTTAAGACTAAGCAACAATAAATTTTATCCAGACTTTTCATAAAAGATATCGCTTTGTTTCAAACTGATTGAGTGGTTCATTGATTGTTTAATGTCTCACAGGAGAATTTTTCTCTAATATAGAGATGTCACCAAATAACAGTGAAGGGGCTTTAAATTTAAACCATTACTCGGCACTCAGGGCCATTGAGCAGTTGGGGTTCTTTATCGTGCCAACGCCTGTCGTGTCAGAGAGCCACGGTTTTTAAGATCTCGTCCAAAAGACAATTTTCACTTCAAAGTGTGCCGATCGCTTGGCGAAGGAACAGTTGCTACCTATTTTTGTTGACTTAGGTCAGTCGCGACCAGCGACCTTCCCATCACGGAGGGATCGCTCTCCCGACTGAGCTACGGGGACAGTCTATTTCATTTAGATAATACAAAATAATATTATACAGAATATATTCAAATTAAAACTAAAAGAATTACCAAATCGATTCATTAAACCATCTTTTCATCTTATATAAAATATTGATAGAAAACGTATCCGATTCAAATGTAGATAAAATAAAAATAAAAATTTGGATAGGATTTGTTCAAAGAATATATTTTTTCATGCTATCATTTTAAAATATTTTCAAAGACTTTTTCCTACTTTGTTTGTCTTTATTATTATCATTATTATCATTTTGATCTTATTTTAGATTCTTGCGATAAACAGGATACACGAAATTATTTTTCGTACCTTGTTACCTGTAGTGAAATTTCTTTTATTTTGAATTAAAAATGGTTCTAATTCTTCAATATTAATACGTGATTTTTTTAATAAACTAAAGGAAACACATCTTATCAATAAGATCACAACAATCACCAACTTCAATTTTCTCTTTTTCCTACATCGGGTTTGGAATCCTTTAAATTCAGGAACTTAATATTTAAGTTTTTAAGTTTTGTGTGAATTGTTGGTGTGTAAATCACATAGACTTGTCACGTAGGCAAATGAAAAATATGCCAACGTGCAAGTCTGTGTGATTTACACACCAATTAATTCACACTAAGCTAAAAACATTCCTTATACATACATTTTGCATGTTTAAAAACACCAAAAATATATTCAATATTTGAATCTATATCGTTACATTTTTATTAACGTCCCAGTAGCCTCATTGTGACGTCACTTTAGCGAGAGTTTCTCCGTGCATATTCCTACGTTGAGAATACACAAAAATGGCATTCAAATAAATTTCACAGTTGGTTTAGTAGAAAAACACAGCAAATGTAAATATTTTGATTTAGATTAACTGTTGTCATGAACAAAGAAGAACAAACAATAATTATATGATCTAAATATTAAAAAAGGGAGAAAAATGATTACAGTGTTATTTCATGTACAGCAGTTTTAAAGGCCTTGAATATAATTAACTTTAGGTATTTCCGATCTGAAGTCATAACTTAAATTCAACATCAACGCACAAGAATATTATTAAATCCAGTCCGGTTTATATTTCGGAAGTTTGACCTAAAGGTTTCAAGCTTTTCTTCATAATTTATTTTTCAGGTTATGTCTCAAATGTCATAATTCAATGTCATAAAGACCAGAGGGTAAACTGGGGAAAAGGAGTGACATCGGTTTTGGCCAAAATAAATCCAGCTATTATTTATTTAGTCATTATGTTTTGCATTCATTACAGGATTTTTTACATGAATTGGAAAATTTCTATCACGATTGAGACAATTAAGGAAAAAAATTGAAATTAATTCGGTCCAAATTACATTACTTGGAGATGTTCGTATATGGATTCATCTGGATCTAGACCATGAATTGCCATGTAAACATCTTCGTCCTCTACGAAATGTGTGTTGTTATAGCTTCCTTCTGCATATATTCTGGTGTCCATTTGACTTTTTGAAGTTTCAAATGTATCGTTTACATATATTTCATTATTTTCAACATAGGTATTTTTCTGAATCGTTGTTTCTTCGTTACCTTGTGTACTTATATTAGGCAACAATTGATTCAAATAAATTTGTGAAACGGAGTCGTGGATGCCTTCCTCTCGGTTGAAGACAATTGATTCATTTTCTGTAACAAAAGAGGAGAAAATAATACATTTGAGAGGTACAAGTTTAGTTGAGATATTGTTGGTTTCTTATGTATAGACAAACACTTGAAAGAGTCTTCTAAGATGACGAATAAAGCATTCTTTCATGACCACAGGCCTCGTCTTCTTCTTCCCCCTTTTTTTTTTGATTCATTGCATTGTTTGACTTCATATTTTTTTTTTTTTAAATTAATTTCTTGTGAAAGGAAAACAAAATGCAAAGCTCACCGTAAATTATCATATCATCTTTATTTGTTTGGATACTTCGTTGTTTAGAGCATCGAAAAATACGTCCTCTCATCCTGTGACGACAAAATCTTTTTTTTTAAATGGGTATCAATGGACATAGGATATAAACTGAATACAGAACAAGTATTTTTTTTATTTGACTCCAATTTTCTCAAGCGCAAGAAAATGCTACAACTCCAGATAGACTTCAGATATTCATACGTAGGATAAAAAAAATCTCTTTAATTAAAATATTACAAAGGTATAAAAGAAATAGTTTCTTACTTCAGAAAATATATAACCATGCCAACTACTAAAAATACTAGTGACAATGCTCCGAATCCTGCACCCATGAACTTCTCAAGATATCTGTTTAAGAAATTCCGACTTATTTCTGAAGCGAAAAAAAGATATCAGGCATTCAAGTATTATGTTTTCACTATGGTATAAACGTTTCTAGCATTTACCTCGACTTCCCAGTAAAAAATTTGTTTCTCTTTTTTGGTTTGATCCTACTCTAATAACGTTGAACAAATTTTGTAAGTATTTTGAGTTTACTTTTTGATGTTTTTCAAATAATACTGCATTTAAATTCCATCTAAATTGAAATATGAAAGTATCGTATGTTTTAACGACCTCAATCGCAGTTCCTTACCATCACATTTATCTCCCTTCCAATCTCCTTTACATGAACAATTTCCATTGTCCTGTTCACAGCTAGAATTGCATCCTATACTGCACGTTTCTTCACATGCTTCACCAAATTTTCCTTCAATACAACCGTATTCACAAAGGCCTGTTTCCCTGTTGCATCCCCCTGCACAGTTTGAGTTGCAAAGTTTTTTACAAAAATGTCCAAAGTAGTCTACTGGGCATATCCCATCACAATACCCTGTGTACCTATCGCATGCAGATGGACATGATAAACTACAGGATTCATTACACATGTGTCCATAATATCCGCTTTTACAACCAAATATACAAGAACCATTTATTATGTTACATATCTCCTGGACACAATTCACACTACACTTTTTGGAGCAATTAGATCCATAATGTCTTGCATTACATCCTGTAAATTAAAGATAAAATTATACTTATCATTTGTATAACGTATAAATATAACGTAGGTTAGAACTAGTAATTATTTATTAAAGTTTTGTTTCAAGATCATTTAAGAGGACACCCAAACCAAGCTTGACTATCATCTTTAAGAATATGATTTGGTGTATTTAAAGTTTAGTGTAAAAAACATACAACCCCAAAGCAGATGATTAACAAATTTAACTTAAAATTTTACAAATTTTACTATGCTCACATCATTAAGGCAGAAATGTCCACTAATTCCCCCCCAAAACCCATTAAATTATTATTTACCATAAACTTCTATCTCACAAATTTCTAGAATTGGCCCTGTGGAACGGTAATCTTCAGGGGCTTTGTATGTGGATTCAACGATGATGTATCTTGCCAACTGTTTACATGGAATGTCAATGATATTAGGAGGTAAGTTTGGTTCTGTGGTATTGTCTGTATAACAGCGAGTCCTCTGTGACGTCATACTCTCCGTAGCTGAATAGTCAGAAACATCCAAATAAAACTTTCTAAACCTATATTGCTTCCAATCGTCAGGCTCATTTCCTAAAATATGAAATTATTCTCTTAATAATAGTTAACAATCTTATACATTAAATCAATCATACAGACCCAGATGTCAATCTGAATGTTCAATTACATTGTAAATTCAATAACTGTAACCGCAAAAGAAGTTAGTTTGGGGGCATATTATTTTTTTTTCACATAATTTGTCCTCGGGATTTCTCGCAGATGGCTAGGACCGTCTTAATGAAAATTCACAGTATTCAGTAAGTGTTATTGTGCAAGCAAGATGACTGCAGTTGAAAAGGAAACGGGAATTTCAGCTCGGGTTAGCATACGTTATTATTTGCAAAGATTTTAGGTTATTTTATATCTGGAGATTTAGAATCCAGCAAGCATAGACCGATTTATATATAACTGGAATTAAAAGATCTTTATAAAGTAAAATGCTACCAAGTAAATGAATGTAATTTTGTATATTTGATGCTCTTATGTTCATACATGCACATTATAGATTCCCCTTTTTTGAAATATAAATATATGATCGCTACTCATTTGATATTGATGATCTTGTTATTAAACTAATATACTTGACTAATTCTATGTCTGTTTTCTTATAAAACAAATACATAATTATCAGAATATTTTTTCATCTACACCATTTCAAGTTTTTGTTTTTATCATACCTTCTCTTCGATAATAGATTTTAACGTGCTGTATTCTGTGAGGCCTTCCTAGGTCAACTTGGAACCAAGCCTTAGACTGGTTGCTACATGTAGCAGTATGAGCGCAAGAAAATTCTTTTGTGTTTAGGTTACCGTCATTGGCGTATGAAGCATTTCTCAGAGCATACGTGGAACTCTGTGATAGAATTGTTGTGGATTTTTTACTAAGGTTTTCTGTGGACGAGATAGATATTTTCAGATCATTAAAAAGACCTTAAGATTTTCTACCAATGTACATGTAGTACACTGGTTCAGCGACAATCAAGTTTGTGTTCTACAAAACATTATTAAGTCAGTGCTTTATTTCTTTTTCGTGTACAGTTAGTTTAATTGGTCGATAATCATTTCCTTTGAAAAATATGATAAAACGCTATCTGTTAAAATAAAAGACAAGATTGTTCACTCAATTTGTTTTACTACATATATACTCTTACTCATGTACATAAGAACAGAAATGCGATTCCTCTTTGAATTTTTTTCTTTTATTGCCCATTATTTTTTTTAAAATTCTAAACAGTTTTCCTTCTATTATGATGAAAACACAAAGTGTCGTTGCTAAATTTAAAGTCATTAAATAATATGTTGAGGAAACTATATTTTCTGACGACAGAAAAAAACCGCATGCTAAATGAGACACCAACTTACACGCTGACAATCTTGTACTTTGTAGTACTTTGAAGGGGTTTAATAAAGAAATGCAAATTATTACCTGCTTTTTTTTCTTGCACCAAGAACAAAGCTTTTTCAATGACCTTCGTATCTTTTTAATAATTCTGAGATTGAGCTATGTTTTATGCTTGGTGTTTTTTATGTCCTTGCTAAAATTTATATTGCATGTTACAAGGGAAACATTCCTAAATTAATCGAACTTTTTTAAAAAAAAAAAATTAAAACTTAAATTCATCAATATTTGTCATCTTTCCAGCCGAAAGACAAAACTTAAAATCTGGGAAACACATGTAACCTATTTCAGAATTGATAAAAGTAACATGCGGGAAAAAATTATCTAAACACAAGATTGTAAGAAACTTGCATAATCTATACAGAGTGTGAAGTTAAAATAAGAAGGGCATACCGTAACAATCGATAAATCCGATTATCAAAATAAGCCACGTCCACCACAGATCAGCCATTTTTGAAGAGGAAGGAAATTATCTAGGATAATGCAGTACGGATATTTTATCTCTATTTTTAACTTTTGAACAATTTTGTTCCCTTGTATTTCCTAATAGACTTCCTTTCTCTATTAAGTTTTTATGTCATTTCCTTGTACCCTCACAAGAAATCTTAATACTACCACAAAATATAGTTTATTATAGATGCAAATAGTTTACTTTTAACAAAGGAATCACTAAAGTAATTTAAAATATCAAAGTTTAAATTTATACTTCAAAGTTAAAGAGTCTTACTATACCGAATCGAAGTGTTAGCTTTTGTTACAGTAAATTAACGTATTTTTTACAAAAGGAAATTCAAATTGTTATTTTTTTCCCCACATTTCACCGCTATACACTCCCGCAAAGTTTTTTTTTTGTCTCTGGCATGTTATAGAATCTTGGTCTGGCATTTGTTTGGCCGCTGTGCCTTCATAATGGTCGAGCTACTTAATGTATTTCTCCCGATACCTGTCAATTTACTAGCATTTATATATATATATATATATATATATATATATATATATATATATATATATATATATATATATATATATATATATATATATATATATATATATATATATATATATATATATTTATATCTTAAACATCTTACAGAAATCTATACAGAAATCTTAAAAAGTGTTTATGAAATACGTTTATGTTTTAAAAAAACATGATTTAATTAAATGTACGATATCTATTTTTACTCTTTATCTAAAGCGACCATTTCATCCAGCTGTCTTTCAAGTAGGAAGGCCGGAATTATATTCGCCAGGAAAGGGAAAATAATCATTATTATTGAACATTTTTGCGATATTTTCATTCAATTTTGAATATTTCTGGTACAGTCTCAACATAATAACAATAATATTAGTGAACGTAAGTATCCCATCTATGCCTTGTAATCAACCATTATACATGTATGTCACTCAGTTCTATATGTGGAAATAATTAAAAGTCAAGATCTAAAGATTTAAGTATCTTTCGGAAAGGATTTTCTTCCTGAAATTTTCATTACAATGCACTAATCATAACTTATACAGAGTATACTTTGAGGATATGTTATACATATATTATACAATTTTTTTTTCTATCGACTCATTTTATCTGATGCAGGAGGTATCAATGACAGAGGGATAAGATCGCAACCAAAAACGTATCATTTCGAGTACATTTTAAACACGTAGATTGACTGTAGGAAATGTGATACTTACGTGTACAAATATATAGGGATATTCTAGATTTCGGTCGAAAATCCATGCTTTCATTATTTGATTTATCTGCAATGTAATCTGAGTAAATGGATGAATATATCTACTTAAGACTAAAAGTATCAAATAATTTTATCCACATTTCAATACGATAAGACATTTTAAGGAGGGATATATTTTTCTTTGGTTCAGATTTATTAAAAAGTCCCATTTGGGAATTTTTCACACATAAAAAGACGTCACCAAATAACCGTGAAGGAGCTTTAAATTTAGACAATACAAAATGACATTTCTATTTTCTGAGAGATCCATTAATGTCAAATTAACACAAAAACAACAAAAACTGAGTCCAATAACATTACCCAATTAAAGCAAAGCTATTGCAAAACTAAAAATAAAATCTGCCTGATCAAAGAAAAACTACAAATAATTATTTATAATTTATCTATTGTAAATTTATTAATATTAGTGAATAGTCAGGACAATCAATCCATTATCTAAAGAAATGTGGATTTACATTATCTGCTAAACTTAGTTTAGTAAATAAATGAAAATGCCTGGTTCTATGAATAATTATTGTTTACTCTTATCACAAGTAAATTTCACACATTTGAATATGAATTATAAGAGTCCCTTCGCTAGGGAATTGGAGCATCTCTTCTCCATGGCTACTGGAAATCAGTAAGTCAGTAGGTCTTGTGCTGAAACAGAACCTGCAAATAGATAAAAAATGAAATTAATGATGCGTCAACAATAGCACATCATTTACAAAAGTGTTATGTTCTAATACACCACTTCCAAAGATAAATACTTTATAGAATAAAACTCAGACTCACAGGGTTCTCCAGAAATATTTTCCCAACCAGAGTAACGATTCAAATTTTATGAGTTCAACAAATTAAAAAAATTGCGCCACAGTAAGATCTGCGAGAGATCAGAAAATCAGAAACATAAATTCCCTCTAAAAGAAACTTTAATTAATCAAATCTATCGTTTTACAATTTTCAATGCAGAACACTTAATTTACTCATAATTATAATAGGGCCCATTGTATAGCTTCTCTTTGTTGTCAATTATCTTCTAGACAATCGCTGACATGACGCATGAATATAATGAACAAGACAACCCAAGTGTTTTCACGTTTAATGCAACTGTAGATAGCTAGTTGAATTTTTAACACTGATAAATTATATCTTTACTTTAGAGCAATGTCTATAAAACCGTGTTAGCACGGGGAGTCAAACATCGTATCGTATTCAATAATTATGTATGAGTAATGTGAAAAATTAAAGGATTTCAGTAAAAGTATTTTATCATTATGAAGTTTCTTTTTTTTTTTTTTAAATTCAAAAACAATCAAATGTCAAGAATAATGTCAAATTTATTTGTAATGATGGCTAATAGTCCGATAGTATGGCAAACCAGAATTTCCTGTGCTCTTCAATGCACGTGTAAAATATAAAAATTATACTGAAAAATATAAGGTTTTAGCAATTACATCATGTAGATACTGATTCAAATATCCTATATACTTTGCCTTTTTTTTAAAAAAAGAAAAAATCGTAGCTTTGTTTGTTTCTATTTAAGTTACGTGTGTGATGGGAGGGGGTTTGCAGGTCAGATTGTTCATGTATGTTCAAAAGTTATATTGGAAAAAAATTCTAATTGTTTTAAATATCCATTAGTTAAGTTTTCTTGATAAATATGCACAATCATAGCATTTTTTTTATCAAACTAATTAATATACAAAACTGTTGTGCGAATTTGATCGCTGCGAATACCGCAAATATTTGTGCATCTTGCAAAGTTTGCGACACAGTTATTTAATCTTTAATGATGAAGAACCCTGGACACATATCCTTTGGACGTTCAGGAACTTCTAGAGCCGATGCGGTCGTAGCGTAGTAAAACGTATATAAATTCCCAATGGTGCTTTCCTGGAGGAAAACCGCAACGTAGTGAACCCTTTTAATATCCATAGCGTAAAAACAAAGAATATTTTACTTTTTCATTTCACTATATATTCCATATAAACTTTTCATACTTTTACTCATTAAGACGGCAGAGTTGTTCTACAGTCGATAGATTTTTTTTTCTAAATGAGCACGTTTAAGTACGCTACGGTATAGATATGTGAGGTCATGAAAATGGTTGTAACGTATTCTAACGTATTAATTATATGCCAATTATTGTTTATTCTATGTTTCAGTACGCTTATGCCAAGTTGTAAAAACAGCTGTAACGTATTTAAGCGTAAGTTTATGGTTGTTGTAAGAAAAACAACATCGTATTCTTGCGTTATTTTCTCTCTCTATATATATACATATATACAATATCATGTTTAAATAGACTGTATTTGTTAAGCGTACACTGTAGTTAAGTGTGCTACAAGAAGATCGAGAGTTTAAATAAGATAAACATACTTGTTATCATTACGTTTTCGTAGGTTTTCTAAATATTTGAAAAATATCAATTATGCAATTTTTAATCTATGCTTTTTAAAAGAACAATTAAACAATGATTATGTCTGCACTTTTTTCTAATAAGCATGACCTCCACTGGATGTATTTGCGAGAAAAATTATTTCAAATAATTGTAAAATGCATAAGACGGTATTGAATATTAAGATTTTGTGAGAAATCTATGGCCGTTTTACTGTGGAACATCCTTGGCTATATGAATCTGGAATTTTATATCCTTTTTATTACGTTGATGTTGTTTTCCAGGAATTCACCCTTGCTATATAGACCCGTTTTTTTAAATACGGTCAATTATGCTATTGCCGTCGAAAGGATATATTATACATATGTATGATGAGCTCGCAGTGAAACAGACTTTAATA